TTTTTTTTTTCCCCCCAAAGCCCCAGTAGATAGCTGTATGTCGTAGTTGCACATCCTTCTAGTTGCTGTATGTGGGACGCGGCCTCAGCATGGCCGGAGAAGCAGTGTGTAGGTGCGCGCCCAGATCCGAACCCCGGCCGCCTGTAACACGCACTTAACCGCTAAGCCACGGGGCCAGCCCTCAAGTCCCCATCTTTAAGAGTTTCTGACTGACTTACGAGGTAATTAAGTCATTAAGTGGGGTGGAGCCCAAGCATTGGCGTTTTTAAAAAGCTTCCAGGTGGTTTGAATGTACAGCGAGATGAAAGCCCCTGGGGTATTGGGCAATGTCTGGAGACGTTTTGGGTAGTCACAGCTGGGGAGGGGGTGCCGCTGGCATCGAGTGGGTAGGGGCAGGGATGCTGCTAGATGTCCTACAGTGCAAGGACAGCCAGCCACACCCAAGAATGATCGGCCCCAATGTCAGTAGAGCTGTGGTTGAGACCCCTGGGCTGGAGGACACCCTGGAGGCTGGAGACGTGCCAGTCGAGAGGTGGATGCCAGGGAGGCAGAACGTGACGGTCCAGAAAGGAGGTGAGGTGTTCCCATGAGGCAGGATTTATTGGGTGCATAAGAGATACCTCAGAAACAAAAGCAGAGTCAACAGAAGTTGGCCGCTATTGGCCCGGTCATCTAGAACGCTCCCCAGGCTTTTGACCGGGTGGGAAGAGCAGATTTGGGGGAAAGCCTACTAAGGACAGATTAGGGTATGGTGCTCGTGAGGGTGAGCGGGACGCTGGGTGAGATGGCCGGGAGGTCAGTGGCCGCTGTGTGGCCAGGCTTATTAGGAGGAGCACCTTCTCCTCTGTTGGGAAAATAACCCCATGATTCTGGGTCACTTTCCCCATCTTTGTACAGAAAAGTACTAATTATTATCATCCCCCTGGGAGCCTTCTCCGGCTCACAGGAAAATTCCAGCCCTGGAGATCTTACACAGTGAGTGACAGCTCCTAATGCAGGAGCGGCGTGGGTGTGGAGGGGGCGGGCCTCAAAGCCATGCCTCTGCTCCTTCGTGATGTCGGAGTTCCCCGACACGCCTGCAGTCATGCCACGGCTCGTTGGCATCTGAGAGAGGAAATGTGGGGCTCACACCCATCATCCCCACCCCCAACACAGGGTCACACGGGGTCCAGTGGTGCCTGGTTACCCGGCATTTGTTTGTTGCCTGGGAATGAGATGTGGTCCTTGCGAGGCGCGGGGAAGCAGAGTCTGGGTAGGAGTGGGCCCTGACATTTGGGGTGGGGATGGCCGTCCT